AGGATGATTCAAGCACTCAACCACTAGATGTCGCTGAAAACAACAAATCCTACACACTGTGCCTTTAATAAACTCAAAAATAAACAGACCATAGCAGCAAAAATGTACATCAAGCAAAAGGGAAAAATAAACTATTACAACTTAAAAAGGTGCTCTTGTGCTTCTAACATAAAAAATGTAAAATCAAAACATGTGATGGCTTTAAAATACAAAAACAAAAGTATAAACAGTGATGATAAAAYTGAACTGCACGTTTTGCAAATTACTGCATTTTTGTTCAACGTCCTTTTCATGAAATCCAAACCACTGTCAGATTATTAATCCAATATTTCTCTTCAGAACTAGTTAATCTGAGTTGTCTTGTTTGATTCACATGCCGAATCTCCCACTGCCGCCATGTTTTTCCTACGCACGCACGCTCCTCCCTMTGTGTGCAGAGGGGAGGGGGCTGGTGATGCATTCAAGTATGTCGGAAAAGCAAAACTTGCAGGGACGCAGCTTATGTTTTGCCTGATAATTTGTACTCGATTGTTACGATAAAGTCATTTTAACCATCGTACATTGAAAAACTTGGGATTCATCGAGTATATTCKGTACATTGCCCACCCCTATTTAGGGCCACTTTGCAGATGAAAAAAAGGGAGGAGTAAATCTTTGCCGAATTTCAGAATTTTTTAGGGAAAAAAACAAGGAAATTCTCTTTGACTTTTCTACATAATAGAATTTCCTGTTTGGTTTCTCAAATTTATGAAATAAATCTTAGTTTTTTCTTGCAAATTTATGACTTGGAGCTCAGAGAACTTCCTTGTTTTTTCTTGAAAATTTCAGCGATTTTTTGATTTTGCTCCTTTTTTTATCTTTACATCTGCAAAGTGGCCCTAAATCGCTGTCGTGCCTTGCGTAAATTTCTTGTAAAAGTTAAACCAAAAGTATTTGATCAAACTCTCCACCAGGTRGCAGCAGGCGAGCCTCTGCCCCTCCTCCAGGATGCCATAACCCTGAAGGGCCACTCTTTTGAGGCTCGTATCTACGCTGAGGACCCAAACAATGACTTCCTTCCAGAGGCGGGGCCTCTGCTGCACCTGTCCACGCCTGCAGCTGACCAGCACACACGCATAGAGACTGGAGTCAGAGAGGGTGGGGAACAAATCCTCCTCAAACATTCTGAGCATTTAACACATTTTCCAACATSACGTAAAATTAATGTAAAATAAGATGAGAATGGTGATAAAACAGGAAGTGTGATGGCTCTATTTGAACACAGSGGATGAGGTTTCAGCCCACTACGATCCAATGATCGCTAAGCTGGTGGTGTGGGGGGAGGACCGATCTGCTGCCTTAAAGAAACTGCGCTATTGTTTACGGCAGTATAACGTAAGAAACCCGTGTGTACGCTTTACGTATTTTCATTSTAGAAAAAGAAAAATCCTGTTTTTAGCGCTAACGTTCCTCTCTGTCCCGTCGTCAGATCGTGGGTCTCAGCACCAACATCGACTTCCTGCTGAGCCTCTCGAGCCACCCGCAGTTCGAAGCTGGAAAYGTGAGCACCAGTTTCATCCCGCAGCACTACGCCGACCTCTTCCCCGCTCCGCGAGCGCCGTGTGGGGCCACCATCTGCCAGGCCGCCCTGGGCCTGGTGCTGCAGGAGAGGAAACACACGCAGGAGTTCACGCAGACCTCCACAGGTCCGTGCCCTGGAGGAGGAGGGGGGGCCGCAGTACCACTGATGTGAAGATGGCTGAAAAGTGTGATTGATGCTGGTTTGTTCTTTATTCTCAGATCCTTTCACTCCGTTTGGTTCCTGCAGTGGGTGGAGGAATAACATCAGGTTTAACAGAAATATGACGTTACAGCTGGGAGACAAGAGTAATTCTCACACACACATACATGCATACACACACACACAGGTTCGTTTTTATATCCCTGTGGGGACCGTGGATTGACTTCCATTCATTTTCTTGTAACTTTATAGCCTAACACTGACCATTTACCCTAAAAATAACCTCACATGTACCTGACCCTAAAACTAACCTAAACCAAACCCCGCACCCAAAATTAGCATCCGTACCTGTGGGGACCGCACTTTGGTCCCCACGAGGCTGCCTTTTTCTGGAAAATGGTTCCCACCATGTAGCAAAAACATGCCCTAACACACACACACACACACACACACACACACACACACA